GATAAAATCTTGATGTTAGATTTCTAGCCTCCAAAACTGTGAGAGAATGAATTCTGTTGTTTAAGTTACCCAGGTTGTGGTACTTTTTATTATTATTATTACTAGAGGCCCGTTGCATGAAGAGATTCGTGCAATAGGCCTTCCCTTCCCCTGGCTGCCGGCACCGGTTTTCCTCCGGCACCCGGGACCCAGGCCTTCGCTGCTCCAGCCGCCTTTAGTCTTCACAGCTCCAGACGGAGCCTTCAGTCTTCGCTCCGCCGCTTCGCCCCTACATATGCAAATTAACCGCCATCTTTGTTGGGTTAATTTGCATACTCTCCTGATTGGCTGTGAGCATGGCGGAGGGACGGTCAATTTACATGTTTGTCTATTATTAGGTAAGATTATTAATTTCAGAGAGAGGAAGGGAGAAGAGATAGAAACATCAATGATGAGAGAGAATCATTGATCGGCTGCCTCCTCCATGCCCCCTACTGGGGATTGAGCCCGCAACCCGGGCATGTGTCCTGGACTGGAATTGAACCTGGGACCCTTCAGTCCGCAGACTGACGCTCTACCCATTGAGCCAAACCAGCTAGGGTGAAGGTTGTGTACTTTGTTCCAACAGACCTAAGAAACTAATTCAAAGACCTATTCTTGAATTTCTTGCTTTCTTCCTTCATAACTGGGTTCTGTTCATCTAGAAGTTGGCGAACCAGGGAGGAATACATTCACGAGGGACCTAATATATTTTCTACTGAATTAGAAGCTGAACCTGCTTTATGGCCAGTTAAAATTCCTTACTCTCATTGAAAAAAAAGAAAAGAGGATTGTTCTGGAGTGACAGTAATCGAGGCAAAATAGTGTTGTTACCACATATAAATCAGGGTTAGGAGTGCTACTCCTCCAGGATAACTATGGTAAACAGTAGAAATTCTAAAAGAAGAGATGAATACAGCCTTCCACAGGTAGGAACAACAGGGCTCAGATTCTTCCTGAAGGGTGTGGTTCATTCAGCTCAAGGAGCAGACAAAAGCCAAAGCATGAGGAACTCCCTGAGAGGAAAAGAGATGTGAACTGAGTAGTGAAGGATGAAGTCCCTCATAAATACCAATTCAAGCTTATAACCAAGAGAGACAGCCAATCCCTAAAGCCAGTACCTGTATTCCCCTCTTTTTTATTATTACATTTTGGCATATAATATGTGTCGGTATACTACAATGTATCATTTTGTCCATAAAGCAGACCACATTGATAGGGGATTGTGACAGAACTAGAGGAGGCACGGACATCACCCAAGGATACTAAAGTAGGAAATGGCAGCCTTGAACCTTCCTCTCTGGTTATGATGACTAAAACCTATTCAACAGGAGGTACTTTGTTGTACATTACTTATTTACATGATATTATAAATATGTGCAAATATTTGAAATACTTTCAGATAGTGTTAATAGAAAGAAGGTCATGTGTGTATGTTGCACAGGGTATAATTAGAACGTGTAGACTTCTCCTGTTTCTGCTTCCTTCCCAGCATTGTGGGAGCTGTCCAGGCTCTACCTGATTCTAGTGAGGTGTCAATCACAGGATTCCAGATATAAGCTAAGCCCAAATGATGAGACTCTCAATGATGAGTAGGAATTTCAATCATGAGTAGAGACACACAGGACTAGAAGGCAGTTAGAAGTGAGTCATATGGTGGCAGATCCTAACATAGTGAGCACAGGAGTTCCCACTGTATGGAACACCTAAATGTCCAGTCCCTGGCTTCCCTAAACCTGTTTATTCAGCATGCCATTCAGTAACCTTCCAATAAATCCATTTGGCTCCTTTTTTCCTTCCTTCCTTTTTCCTTTCTCTTTCTTCTCTTTTCTTTCCCCCTTCCTTCCCCTTATATTTCCTTCCCTCCCCTTCCTTCTTTCCCCTTCCTTCCCTTCTCTTCCTCCCCTCCTCCCTCCATTTCTTCCTTCTTCCCTTATCATTGCTGTTACTTGTAAATAAAGAATACTGATATATGTATTACCCGGCTTCTTACATTTTTTCTCATAATATTTTGAAAATTACCTATGCATAAAGAACATCCTATATAATAAAAACTTAATATGCAGCCGAACCGGTTTGGCTCAGTGGATAGAGCATCGGCCTTCGGACTGAAGGGTCCCAGGTTCGATTCCGGTCAAGGGCATGTACCTTGGTTGCAGGCACATCCCCAGTGGGGAGTGTGCAGGAGGCAGCTGATCGATGTTTCTCTCTCATCGATGTTTCTAACTCTCTATCCCTCTCCCTTCCTCTCTGTAAAAAATCAATAAAATATTAAAAAAAAAAAACTTAATATGCAAATCAACCGAACTGTGAAATGACTGGTTGCTATGATGCGCACTGACCACCAGAGCGCAGATGCTCAACACAGGAGCTGCCCCCTGGTGGTCAGTGCACTCCCACAGGGGGAGCGCTGCTCAGCCAGAAGCCAGCCTCTCCCACCTCCACAGCAGTGCTAAGGAGCAGCGAGCAGGCAGGCAGTAAGGAGCAGGGGGTCCGGGACTGCAAGAGGGCACAGGCCGGGCTGAGGGGACCCCCCAACAAGTTCATGAATTTCATGCACCGGGCCTCTAGTTTATCTAGTTTATCTATAACTTGGTGGACAGAAAAGGTCTATTATGAAAAATATTACTATGTTTCCTTACATATAATTAGTGATAAGAGAATATGGCATAGGGTGCTGTTGCATACCAGAAATTGCTTCTAAGTTTTCTAGCACCAACCCCAACTCTAACCTAACCTTGATAAAATCTCTCCATCAGTGCAACATTTTGGACTCTGAAATAAAGGGACTTCAAGTAAAGACAAAGATGGATAAACAATGAAAGTAATAGTTAGTAAAGAGTAAAACAGAGAAGGAAAATATCAGTCCCTAATGTCTAGGGTGGACTGCATCCATCCAGAAGTGGAAGTCTCCGTAGGGCCAAATTAGCACAGCCAAAACAGGACTCCCCTTTCTTCTAGTTCTCTTCACCACAGCCCTTAAGGGGAAATGACAAAATATGTATACAGTATATCTTTTAAATCTCTCTCTCTGCGTATGGTCTAGAAATGTCTGGAAAGTCAGTTAACATCTCTGAACAATTTATTGTTAAAACAAAGAAGTTGAACTGGATGATTTCTCACTCTCTCAAAACTAAACCTGTGATTTGATTTTCTTTAAATATCAACTATATTTCTATGGACTAAACATGAATTGTAAATCAAATATTTAGAGTTCTAATTCTATTTCAAATTTAAAATCTTAAAGAGTAAAATAATTCCACCTGTATCACAGTTTTCTCATCAGTAAACCAAGATAATTTTCAATCCAATTAAACTTTTAAACAATTTTTTATTGATCGATTTTTACAGAGAGAGGAAAGGAGGGAGGGGGCAGAGGAAGAGAGAGAGAAACATTGATTTATTATTCCACTTATGTATGCATTCATTGATTGATTCATGTATGTTCCCTGATCAGGGATTGAACACACAATCTTGATGTATCTGGATGATGCTCTAACCAACTGAGCTACTTGGCCAGGGCAAACTATCCTATTTTTTTAAATTAAGAGATTATAGGGCCTTTATATGTAACCTGGTAGAATTAATTTATCTAATAGTATCTATACATAACACTTGTATTTCTCCATACATATGGTTTGAATACCTACATATAATGCGTGCGCGCGCGCACACACACACACACTTTTAACTCTGCCTAGATTCAGTGAAAATATAACAATCTCTATAAAAAGAAAGGGCTGAGAAAATTCCTGTGGTGACAAGCAGGAAGTGTGGCTAGTCATTTTGCCTCTTTCTCTTCTCCAAAGCACTAATTAACAAACGAATATCTGATTGTCCTAATGGCCTACATAGGTAATAAGGAAGTGCCTATGGTCCACATGCAGGCTTACTAGTAGTGATGATAGGGGTATGAGTGTTGAAGTTCTACTATTGTAGCTCTTTAATATAAATCAACAAATAATGTTTTAGCCTCTAAATTAGAATGTTAAAATATTCCATTCATCACGAGCAGTAATAAAAACTAGTGTAATGTTAGTAAATTCCTATTTAATTCTCCTGAAATTACTTCTTTGAAGTTTTTATATTAGAGCTTTACGCAACCTAAAAGTTATTTTTAATTCATAGTTTATCTCTCCCATGTCATTTCCTGAGAATAAAACAGTACAAGTAAGCATTTTTAATCAATGAACATGCTTAAACTTTAGAAAACAAATGAGTTAACTGACAACTGAAATGTTCTAAATGCCTTAATACACCTCATATATTTTTCAGAGAAAACTCAATATTGTGCCTTGAGTCCAGGCACGGGAACCTAAAGAACTAGACATACAAAGATAAAGACGAAAAACTCATGCCAGGACTTCAGATCAATGGCACTCAGTGTCAAACATCCTCAGTACAAAATGATCTAAGAAATACGATGTTTAACAGTCCTTTTGATTTCAAGGTCAGATAATATGTGCCAACTGCTATGCAAAATTTAACTCACCTACAACAATTCGTTTGTCAATGTTGAAATAAGCAAACCAAGCTCAAAGTCCAGAAATTGCAAAAGTGGGGTAAGGCTGCAGCAGGGGGTGCGAGTTGGGGACAGGCGCGGGCACAAAGGGAAGACAGTGGGATGCCTTTTCCCCTACTTTTATGCTGGAATGTGCTCATCCCTGTCCTCTGACCGGGAACTTCAGCTGCTGGGGGCAAAGGGATAGGTGTTCTAACTCCTTTTTTAACACTTGGCGTTACTCAGCTCCTTCCCTCGGTCCTTTGGGCAGCAACACGGGTTCCCAGCGCAGAGCAAATACCCACCCTGCCCCACCATTCCGCTGCCCGCTAGACCCACGGCTGCTTCCATCCGCCGGGGGCTGTCGGGGCTTGGAAAGTTTCTAGGAGGCTGCAGCCCTGGAAAACAAACTCGAGCAAGGCTGGCGGCTCGGCTGGCATCGCTGGGGGAAGAAGCAGACAAGACGCTATTGATTACTCACAGTTTGCCTCCGAGACCGGGAAGGCGAGGGCGAGGCACGCCAGCAGCGCCCCGCAGCTCCCGCCGAGGACTCTCATGGCCGGG